GGAGTACGGAATGGGGCAAAACCCGGACTGGATTTTGGCCGGAGTACGGAATGGGGCAAAACCCGGACTGGATTTTTCCCGGAGTACGGAATGGGGCAAAACCCGGACTGGATTTTTCCCGGAGTACGGAATGGGGCAAAACCCGGACTGGATTTTTCTGGAGACTGGATTCCCCCCCCCAAAAAAAAAAAAATTAAGGAAAAAAATGAAGTGTTGGGCTTGATGATCTCAGAGGTCCTTTCCAACCTGGTTGATTCTATGATTCTATGATTCTATGTGAGTGGCCTAAAATGGAATAAACTATTTTCTGGTTGCAACTGCTCTGTAAAATACAATGGTAGACTGCATAATTCATACTTTGTTCTTTGCAGAGAAAGCAAAAAGGTGTTAAGAAAATGTGGTGTTTTTTTTTTTAATCTGTGCTCCTTTATCTTCATCAATATTGCATTTACTCTAGTAAACTGGTGAATATTAATTTCAGCTGAATTTTTCCATTATCTGCTTGGAAATTATCACAGAATGGTTTAGGTTGGAAGGGACTTTAAAGATCATCTAGTTCCAAACCCCGTGCTGTCAGCAGGGATGCTTCCCACTAGGCCAGATTGCTCAAAGCCCCATCCAACCTTGCCTTGAAGACTTCCAGGGGTGGGGCATGCACAACTTCTCTGGGCATCCTGTGTCAGTGCCTCACCACCCTGACAGGAAAGAATTTCCTCCTAACATCTAATCCAAACTTACGCTCTGCCCGTTTAATGCCATTCCCCCTTGTCCTATCACTCCATGCCATTGTAAAAAGTCCCTTTCCACCTCTCTTGTAGCCCCCTTTAGGTACTGGACAATTGTATAAGGTCTCTCTGGAACCTTTTGTTCTTAGCACCTGGAAAAAGGCTTTACAGGGTTGGTTTTGTTAGCACATTTCCATTCTCCCTAGAACATTCAGATGTTCTGCTTTTTGCTTCTTGCTGTGGCTAAGAGATACTTTGCAGCTGACCATGTCTCCTTGCAGAGCTACTTTGCAGACTTGGAGAAGCCACACATGAAGGGGATCGGAGCCACCAGCCAGCGGCAGAGCCCTGGTCGGGCTCTGTGGTGAGCTCTGGCCAGAAACCACACCAGCTGCAACAGGAGGCAACGGGTCCTCCTGCCCAGCTGGGCAAGGGTGGTGCTCTTGCTGTGAGTTTTAGGAGTTCACATTTTGATTTCACTGCTGACATTTTTGCTGGTTTTTTTGTCTGACTTAAATGCCAGATGAAGGGAATGAGCTGAGGTAGGTGTTTATGATGGACTTTTTATTATCACAAAGAGCAGATACACTTGATGAACCAGGATTGCATATAGGAGTGGGTGGCCTTTCTGTGGAAGAAAAGTATTTTCATGGCTTGATTGCTCAGGCAGTCAGTGTCACCCCAGTTCTGAATGGAGGATGAGCTATTAAAATCCTTAAAATGTTGGTGATGAGTGCTTTTTTTAAAATGTGTTATTTCCCATACTGGCTGTGCATTTCAGCTTCCCATTTCCCTCCTCTCCTAGGCCAGCTGGTATTTGCTTGAGCCAGTGGGATGTCACGTATCCCCTCTTCTAGGAACTACAACTTTTTGCAAACCCCACTTCCCACAGCCTCTTGCAATGTTTTTGGAAAAAGAAATGAATCATTTATGATTCAGCCAGGGGGTGGCCAGGCAGCCCCATCATAAAGCAGGGAGAGCCCCAGCTAAACTTTGGAGCTGTCGGAAGCCGAGGGAAGCATTCCAGGGCACGGCTCACTGTTATCTCAGGACTATTGTGAAAAGGTTTCCTTTAAAGCACCATAAATCCCAGCCTGTTATCAAAGTTCCTAAATTGCAGTTTAATTGAATTTCCCCTTTCCCTGTTCTTGTTGAGGGTGAGAGAGAAGGAGAACACACCATCAGCACTTCCTGTGGGATGCACTGAACTTGCCTTGCTCCTGAGCAAGCACTTGCTATGATCTTCTCTGGGCTCTTTGAACACTCTGTGCATCCTGCTGGGAAACAAAAAATGCTGTCCTGCTGTCACAGATTCTCTACATAAGGTGGAAGTGTATCCAAAACTTTCAGTGACTAGCACAGGGCTTGAGTGGTTAAATATTTGGGGCATGTTAGTGAACAAACAGTAAATATTAGAGTCTCAAAGAGGGAAATTGATATGTGTATGGTAAGTACTTAGTTAATTTTAAAGTGGCTGGGCTACATGGCTTGTGACAAGCACTTAGGGAATCAGCCTGATTTTTCTAGAAAGCCTCCACGTGGAGTGTATTTACTAATTCAGAAATTAAAACCCAAATGCATCTGCTGAGAAGGAGCAGGGAGCACATCGCAGATTGAGAAGAGGATTAAAATCAAAGGTGTCATCGCTCCCTGCTGCCTCCTTGTCTGGGGCTGAATGGAAGTGTAGTAGGATGGCTGGGGCTGGGGCTTCCCCTCATGTCGGGGTCATGGCACAGAGTGCTGACCTGTGGGGAGCTGCCCCCTGGTGCAGGTGGGTTTAGCTGCTGCTGGCTTTGACTGAGAGTGCCTTGTTTAGTCCCCTGCATGAGCAGGCTGGGGCAGGGGCTGTTCCAAGCTCCACAGAGAGGTCTCGATCACCCAGAACCCCCTGACACCGCCCCTTTTCCCACCACACTGCCCACCCACCATTGCCAAGCCTGGCTGTTAAAGCAAACAGGTCTGCGCCAACCCCTTTGTCCAAAGCTTTTTCCATAAGGAAAGGGAAGAGCTCAGAGTGAAGCAGTCGGAGGTGCTCTGCCGTTAGTCTGGTCTGGGATATGAGAAGTACAATTTTTCTGGGTGGAAAAATGTTGGAAAAATGTCTGTCCCAATGAATGCACATCATTCAGAGCTGTTCTCTCCTGAAGAGCAACAACGTGGAGGCAGAGTTAAGGGAATAAAGAATAGACAATAAACATGTAACTTTTTTTTATTTTTTAAGATGAATAATTAAGTCTGGGAAAAGGAAATCTCTGCTCTGCAGGCTTGTTAAATCTGTAACCCTAACGTCAGGGCACATGTCCACACCACCCCCTTCAAGTTACCTCCCACCCGCTATACTTGTTTGTTGGCTGCCAATAAACCTCCTAGTGTGAGCAAGTTTAGTTTCACCATCCCCAGAGCTCTTTCTGCAGGGTCCCGGCTGGCAAAGAAGCGTGCTCTTACAGAGGCTGCTCATCAGAAGGTTGGTTCTCTTAAAGCATGGAAATATTAATAACTTGTTAGCCTGGGAAAGTGGGATAATAGTAAATAAAGTAAGGATTTTTTTTCCTGCTTAGCACATAATTTAAATCAAACAATATTGCAAATTCTACTTAGGGAAGGGGGGAGGCTTTTAAAAAGCTATGCTTGAAAGCTGAATTCTGTAGCAGTTACCTTTTCTTTGCTGCTTTCTCCTGCTGACAGAATTGTATAACTGTGTTAAAGGAATCTGACTGGTACTTTACTCTCTGTTTAAACCGGGCTGTCCTGCCACCAGGTTGGATATTGATCGCTTCTATAGGTTGCTGCCTGATCTCCCTGAGTGTTTGCTGTCCCTTCAATGGGGTATGCTGTTGGTGGCAAGAGCAGTTTCATGCTGCAGTCTTAATTTTTACAGCTAAGAGATCTCTTTGCATGTTTGCAGCTAAGAGAGGAGAAAATATGTGAATAATATTCGTATACAGAATACTGTGCATTTGTAAAAGTGTAGAGAGATTCACCACTTGTTGGTAGCACGGCTGTGGATCGGCAGAGGGAAGCCCTCGAAGGCATCACATGCTCACATTTCCCTCTGGACACAGTTGGTACTACCTCCAGCTGCTTTTCCTTCCAACTCAGGACCTTCTGTGATTTCTGTGATTCACACCGGGCTTGCAGGCTGGCTTGTGCTGCCAGGTGAAGGCAGGAGTGGGATTTCTGGAGAAGCATGGGTTAATCCAAACGGCGGAGAGTACTCCCCCTCCCCCAGCACCTCCTACTTAATTTCAGTTTCTATTCTGGCTTTTGAGCTCAGAAACTGCACAGGGAAAAGCTTTATTAGCCAGCACTGTTCTGCCTTTGCCAAGCTGCCTTTTCTAAGAGATAAAACAAACCAAGCGAATTTGTAGAAAAAAGACTTCTTTTAAGTCTTAATAGATGTGAGCAGGCAGTTTATCTTATCTAGAAAAACCTAGCCCCAAAGCCAAACTTTCTTTGAATTGTTATCTAAGACTGTTTTGAACTTTTTTTACTTGGGCAGGAAGATAGAAGCAGAAAGAGTAGTTATTATTATTATTATCATCATTATCACCACTATTATTGTCATTACCATAATTATTACCATTATTACTATTTTAGGTCTGAGGCTTACTGGTTTTCAAGATTTACTTTCTTGCTTAACCACAGGAAGGCAAGGAGAGGGCATTAGACTTGGGACACAGCCTTGAGTTTCTGTCTTTTTGACTCTCTATGACAAGAAACTGGAGATATGAGTTTTCTATAGTATCTCTCTTGCGTGGAGCCTGGCTTTGGTATGAGGAAGTGAGACCACAGGTGCTTCCCACATGCTTTGGCCCCATGCCAAAGCCATCTTGTGTAAAACAAGCCAAGTTCAACAACTGAAATGCCCAAGTCATTCCCTTTAGCTTGGGTTCACTGCCCAGCCTGGCTTGGCTCAAGGGAAATCAGTGAGCTGTGTCTAAGCACTAGCGAAACCTTTCTGGGGTGGAGTGGGGAGTGCCAGTGGCCTGGTGCTGTTTTGAAGGCTGGATAAAGTGGTAGAAAATGCAAAAGCATTGAAAGGACACAAATGCAGGTAAGATACGGTTGTGCTTTATCACCACCAGCAACAGCAAGAGAGCTGAGCAACAGGCAGCCTGCTGAAGGGTGACGGCCCACAGTTTGGTTGGAGGTTTGGACCAACCACAGGTTTTTCACTAAGTAACCTGTTTGCTGTTCCCCACCTGTCTCTTTCAGAAGTGCATCTAGGAATGGCCTCCCAGACGATCGTGACGATCCAGCCACAGTATGGCATGCCCGCTGCCTCGAGGTGCATTTGGCAGACGGGGCTGATGGACTGCTGCTCGGACTGCGGCGTCTGTGAGTGCTGTGGGAAGTCCCCTCTCCCGGCCCTCATCAGGGGTGTGCTGCAGTCAGTCACACACCCTCGAGAGACACTTCTCTTGCCCCTGCTGCTCAGCTTGGTGGTGCAATGGCTCCAGCCATGTAGCCTGGTTCTCCTAGTTCTGAGTGTGCAGGCAGATCCTCACCCCCTGCTGTGTTTCTCCCCCTACCAGGCTGCTGTGGGATGTTCTGCTTCCCCTGCCTCGCCTGCCAAGTGGCCGGGGACATGAACGAGTGCTGCCTGTGTGGGACCAGCGTGGCCATGAGGACCCTCTACCGCACCAGATACAACATCCCGGTCAGTGGGTAACCTGCCCCCTCACCCTGCTGCGAGGCTGAAAGGCGAGGTGCCCCCCAGGGAGGTGGTGGATTCACTGTCCCTGGAGGTTTTTAAGATGAGACTGGATGTGGCACTTCAGGCCATGCTCTAGTAACCACGGCAGTGTTGGATCAAGAGTTGGACTTGATGATCTGGGAGGTCTTTTCCAACCCGGTTTATTTGATGATTCTATGGGGGATGAGCACAGGGCAGCAGTGCTTTCCCCTCCCCATTGTTTTCCCTTCCGTATCCTGCATGATGCCAGAGCACGGAACAGGAGCTGGGACATCCTCAGTTGAGCTGATCCCTGCGCTGGTATCCAACAACACACATAAATTGGACACAGCTCCTTCACTGGAGGCAGTGTCCTGCCTTCAGCTGCTGCTGACCACAGTGGCTTGCAGAGCCTGGGCTGCTGCTTCCTCCTGTGATCTTTGAAAGATGGGCGAGATTAGAGATAATTGTGGGCAGATTAAAGAATAGATGAAATTGGTTATACAGGTAAGGATCTGTAATCAGATTTGGGAGAAAGGTGGACAGTACATATGTGAAGGGTTTCCATCCTGCAGGGGGTGGACTGGTGCCATGCCAAGTGCAAATCACGGGGGCCCAAGTTCACGTTGCCCAAATTGTCTCTTTCTGTGTGCATTTTTGTCCCCAGTGTGAACCTCAGAAGTCAAAGGGGAAGTAGCTATCTGTAACCTGCACAAAGGACTCTCTTCTTCCTTTCCATAGTGCCAGGGTTTCACCAGCCCTGGGCTTCAGTGTCTGCTACCCAGGATGCTGCAGCCAGCCAAGAAACAAAGGGCACGCGACCTGGAATGGGATTAACATTTCCTTGTCTGGAACATGGCTTTTGGGAAGCCGGTGTCCCTAACTAATTTCTTCCTAACAGGGGTCCATTTGCTCTGACTTCTGTGTCACCTTGTGTTGCCCCGTGTGCTCCGTTTGCCAAATGAAGAGAGACATCAACCGCAGGAGGGAGCAGGGCATATTCTGGTAAGCTGGGGGTGCTGGTGCTGGTTTATAAAGCTGCCATCACACATGGCCAAAAGGCTTCCCAGAGTGTCTCCTACTGACACAGGGTTGCTGCAGTGGGGAAATGGCCATGGACATGTGACAAAAGTGACCTGTCCTACAGCAAGATGTTGCTGGGAACCTCATGCAGGGTGGAGAGGGAAGGACTGGGGGACGCACAGTGTGTGGTGAGGCACAGCCCTTTTCCCTGACACTCGTCTCCTATCCATTGCAGATGGATCCACGCTGCATCCTGTGGAGCTGCTGGCAGGAGTTGCCACTGGCTTGGCTCTTGGGAAATGCTCCATGTGGGGCTTGCCTTGATTCAGTTGATTTCCCCTTCCCTGAGTAACACCAGCAATAAAGTTTTGAGTTTGTCTTCCTACCTCTGTCTATGTCACTCTTGTACCACCTGAGAGAACCCTCCCTTCTCCCGTTTCATCCACCTCAGCAGCCCCTGGTGCAGCTGAGATTTCCCTTGCCTGCTGCAGAGAAAGGTTTTCATGAGTATTTTGTTATTCAATCAGCTTTTAGAGAGGATATAGAATACCTGGGAGGAGTCAGTGTTGCTCATTCAAGTTGTAGAAGTTGGGCAAGTGACTATGACTACAGGGTAGAGGTGGGGCTTCCTGCAGACAAGTGACATCTGCAGGCCACCCAGTGCTAAGTCACCCCTGCTGTGGTGGCCCGGGTGGCTGTCCAGGGCTGCTGGCCAGTCCCACCTTTCTGAACATAAAAGCATGGGGATTGGGGCTGCCTGGCACCAGCCTGCCTCCTGTGTTGCAGAGACACGCTCCCCGACGGACCCTGAGCATGAATTCCCACCCACCTGCAATTAAAATTCTGGTTGGGCCATGGGTTGGCCACGGCCTGTCCATGGTCAAACCCTGTTGCCTTCCTGCATGACCTTTTAGAGTCCATCTGCCTGCACTGGGCTCTCAGCCCTGCACTCCTGTCCAGGAGGTGGAGGTTGCATCCACCCTCTCTCCATCACTCAGAGAAATGCTAAAGGATTTTCAATCCCTGCAAATATTCCCCAGCTTCACTTTTTAAGGAAAATGTGAGAATTTTTTGTCCCCTCTCTGCCTTCACCTTCACCACAAAACTTTTAAAGGGCAGGCAGTGGCTCTGTCCATGCTGTGGGGTGGGTGTGCGTGGTGGCACTGCCACCTGCCCAAACTCCAGGTGGCCCAAACAGTCTTATGGATGATCCCTGGCCATACAGAAAATGGATTTTCAGCCTAAGAGAGGTAAAGGCCAGGAAAGTGGAGAGGGAGAGGAGAAAAAAGACCAGGCTGCTGCCTCATCCCAGCACAGCGTGTTACAATTTTGTAGATGTCCCTCGAGGCAGCACCTGTGTCACCCAGTGTAGTTACAATCAGCTCTTGCTGATGTTCCGGGTTAATGAAGGAAAGGCACTGCAGTTCCAGCAGAATATGGCTTAGGTCAGCACAGGAGCCTGGAAACAAACTGCCCTTCTCTGCAAACATCTCATAAAAGTGGCGTGTCCCACTGGGACTCTGGGCTTGGGGAATACTGGGGTGGGGAAGGGTGAGGGCGGGCAGCAGAAGCCTGGCAGGAGCAGGCAGGCAGGCAGGCTGCAGCAAGGGAGCTGCAATTGCACAGAGCAGCACCTAAACCAGAGTCTGGTCTGTGAGTCAGAGAGCAGAGGTCGTTTTCCAGAGAGTATATAAGGGGATGTCAACCAGGAAAAGGACATACGTGCTTCTGGGAGAAGGACGGCTTGGAAAGTATGTATGGCATGGCTTTGCTTCAGTTGTGGTACAGAACTATGGAAATTGCTTGTGGCTGAAACAGTGGTGCTGGGGAAGGGGTGGAGACAAAGGTGAGGTTTTCTACCTACCTGGAAAACTACTTCAGAGCTAAACCATGGCATGCTGGATGCTGCTGATGGGCATCTCGACAGAAGTGGGCAGCAGGGGTATAGGACAGCAGCTTTTTGTACTGTATTGTTCATTTGTGCGTATATACATGGGCCTATAAATGCTGCTTTGTGACCTTGGTTATGGGTGAAATGTGGCTGCATGCTCCTCAGAATCCTTTTGTTCCTGTCAGTTGTTTCAACACAGCTGGTGATGCCATGGAGCTGTAGAACTGGGGGCACCGGGGGTGATAATGTTGGGAGCTGTAGAACTGGGCCACCTCTTGGGAGGTGATTGTGTGCCAGAGGCTTCTCCAAGCTGCTGCCTGCTCTGCACTGCAGCTTCCATCTGTGCAGGGATGTGGTGTGCTCGTACTCGAGGAGGGGAAGCTTGTGGTCAGCCCTGCCTGCAAAGGCCACAGTGTGTGTGTGAGCACCACTTGGCTGTGTTTTTATGAGGTGCTACTGTTGATCATGTCATCTGGTAGTGCAGGAACAGCAGGAGAGGCTGATGGGGTCCTGCCCCTAAAACGTAACCTGCTGCTGCTCCTGTGCACGTTTCTCCCTGTGGTCATGCCTCCTGCTGGTCCCTGTGTGGGACCCCTGTGCTGTCCCTCCCTGGTGTCCCCACTGCACACTGTCTGTGGTCTGTCTCCTCCCCTGCCCCTCCCGGTTCCTGATTCTTAAATTGTCATGTGTCAAGACTCCTTGAAGGGGCTGCTGTTTTGGCATGCCAGGAGGTGTTACACTGGCTGCAGAAGTGGTGGGAATTACCTGGGATCTTGTGCATGAACAAGCAGGGCTGGCTGGCCAGGGCAGGGCCAGGAGGTGTCTGGTGAGGGATGGTGGGTGCAGTGGCCCCTGCTGCACCCACGGTTGCTGGGGTTGCCTGAGCTTGCTCCAAAGGTCGCTCCCTGCAAGCAGTGGGGTGACTTGCCCCAGAGAGGGCACGACAGCATTTTTACAGTTCAATAGCCTTGTTCAGTAGCAGGAAACAGCCTGATCTTTAACCCCCAGTGTGACAGTGACTGAGAGACTCCCACCAGCTGTCGCTTTGCCCTTTCAGGCCACTCATCACCAAATGGGAGCAGGTGCCAGGATCTCAGATAGGAACAGCCCAGCCACACTTCCACTGCCTGCAGAAAGCTGCAAAAAGTCAGAGGCAAACCACGTGGAGACTTTTTTCCAGCTTTCTTCCCTCTTACAGCATAAATCAATATTTTTTTTCCTCTTCCTTTAACTGCCAGGAACAAGTGTTCGCCCTCCAGCAACAGGTTGTATCTGACAGCAGGGATGTGTCTGGGACAGTCTGTAAATGGTGGGGAACCACAGGAGCTGCTGGCAGAGCCATCAACCCCTTTGCCACCTGTTATTGTTGCGGCGGTTGAAAGTAAAGAAAAACACGAACAGTCTAGTACCGAGCAAAGTACCAGTCTCTTTATTATTTCTCATGAGTCTTTTTATATCCCATGTTAGTAGCAAGCAGCAGTTTTAGAAGGTTAGCAAGTAACTGTATTTTAATTGGCTATTATTTGTTAGTGATATTTTTGGCAAAGCTCAAGGCTAAAATTGAAGTTCTCGCAGGACCGAATCCAAGCACTCCACAGCTGTCTTATTTTTGTTAGGGCTGCGTACATACCTCTCCTATCTCAAGGATACATCCGTAAATTTCCCAGGTCAATATCTTCTCCCAGAGAGCTAACAGACTCACTGTCAACCCTGACAGCCACCTACTGGCAATAGTCAGTAAAAGTGCAATGCCACAGCCTAAGTCTCTCTTATGTGGGTACCGTGTACTCAATGGCATCATCTGAGTGCTGGGCATAGTAAAATAGTTGTTCCACCATATTTCTGGTGTTAAATACTTCTGTGTAAATGTGCAACTCTGATATGAAAACAATCCCATTTCCCCTTTATAGCGTTTTAATTTACAGAATTTGACAGAATTTAATTGCCATCATTCTTTTCTTCAAAACTTAAATGCTTCTGCTATTTTTCTTTTTGCTCCTCTCATCATCCTGAAACTCAGGCACTCCCTTGTCACACAGGGGTAGGGTAGGGAGTGCTGCTTGGTGGGTACCCCCACCTGGCACCCAGACAGGGAGTGCTGCCTGTGCAAGCAGGACAAACGTGCCAAAGGTGAGCAGGGGCAAGCAGGACCTGAACTGCCTGGAGATGCTTTGTTAGACATCCACAGTGACTGTCGCAGAAATGCCCGAGTGCTGTGCGAGGATGTGGCCGCTGGACAGGACCTCCCTGAGGTGCTGCCTTGGGACTCTTCCCAGGCAAGAAGCAGCAGCTTGAAGTTACTAGATCCAAAGCTCAGGCTGTTTTCTCGCTGATAGTTTCTTTGCTGAGGATGTATGGTGTGTGCTGGGAGTGGGAGAAAGCTCTCGTAGCTGTAAGACATGGGAGCCTTTGCACCTCAGCCCCGTGCTGCTTAACAGAGTGGTGCTGAGCTTGGGCATAGGGCAGGGGATGTGTCTGCATGGGACTTTCTGTGGGAGTATCCTCTATAGGGTCTATGGGGACCCTAGGAGACTGAGGAAGAGGAGGATGATGCATTGGCACAATCAGTCAAGTGGAGGAGGAATAGGAACTGGTGACTGGGCTAAGAACAATGGAAAGAAACAAGGAAAACCCACTGCCTTGAAGCCCGCTAAGAAAGCAGGTGAAGAAAGAAGGGAGAGGGGGAGGCAAATAGACTGAGATGATCATGGAACAACTACTGAGAGCCTGGGGAAGCTAGAACTAAGCTTTGGGAGACTGTGATCATAACAACAACAAAATACCCAACCCAAAACATTTTAAGCAGATAATAATGGAAGATGAACTGGAGATGAGAAGACAGGATTGAAGGTTGAAGCACTGCAGTTCTGAAGCAAAAGGACTTCTGCCTCTACAGAAGCAATTTACTTGCACAGGCAGGGGATGAGGTGCTGCTGCCTTTGGTGGGAGGCTGGTTTTGGGGAGGGCTTTGCTTCAGAGGGCGGCGGCAGCTCCTGGCAGTGCTGCGCCCCCCACTTTGTGGTGGGGGTGGCAGTACTCTGGCAGTGGAAATGCCCCTGAGACCTGTGTTGCCCTCTCTTTGAATGCAGCAGCCTGAGCAAGACACCCACTTCAGAAACACCTGCAGCATCTTTCTCTCATGGCTTTTCCTTCCAGACCACAAACTGCCCGGAGGGACCTAACGCTGTGCTGGCAATGGACTCTCAAAATGTGGTTGTGATCCAGCCCCAGTTTTCAACTGCCCAACAGCCAGGCAGATGGCAGACTGGGCTGATGGATTGCTGCTCTGACTGTGGCGTGTGTAAGTACATATATACTCCTCATTCCTGCTGTTGGTTCATGATGTGTTTCTGGTGTTCTCCCTGCTCCTTCTGCAGCATTGCCCCTTCTGCAAACCCTACTTTTGTGGGTACTAGCAAGAGAGAAGCTCTTGCCTGAGGTCAAGAGTCACAGCTCCCATGGTCACATTCCTGGCTGGCCTTTCCCCCTTTCCTCAGTCTTCGAACCCCTCAGCCAAGCCCATATCTCACTGTCCCACAGGTCTCTGTGGAAGCTTCTGCTACCCTTGCTTGGGGTACAAGGTGGCTGGGGACATGAACGAGTGCTTCCTGTGTGGGACCAGCGTGGCCATGAGGACCCTCTACCGCACCAGATACAACATCCCGGTCAGTGGGTAACCTGCCCCCTCACCCTGCTGCGAGGCTGAAAGGCGAGGTGCCCCCCAGGGAGGTGGTGGATTCACTGTCCCTGGAGGTTTTTAAGATGAGACTGGATGTGGCACTTCAGGCCATGCTCTAGTAACCACAGCAATGTTGGATCAAGGGTTGGGCTTGATGATCTGGGAGGTCTTTTCCAACCCGGTTTATTTGATGATTCTATGGGGGATGAGCACAGGGCAGCAGTGCTTTCCCCTCCCCATTGTTTTCCCTTCCGTATCCTGCATGATGCCAGAGCACGGAACAGGAGCTGGGACATCCTCAGTTGAGCTGATCCCTGCGCTGGTATCCAACAACACACATAAATTGGACACAGCTCCTTCACTGGAGGCAGTGTCCTGCCTTCAGCTGCTGCTGACCACAGGGGCTTGCAGAGCCTGGGCTGCTGCTTCCTCCTGTGATCTTTGAAAGATGGGCGAGATTAGAGATAATTGTGGGCAGATTAAAGAATAGATGAAATTGGTTATACAGGTAAGGATCTGTAATCAGATTTGGGAGACAGGTGGACAGTACATATGTGAAGGGCTTCCATCCTGCAGGGGGTGGACTGGTGCCACGCCAAGTGCAAATCACGGGGGCCCAAGTTCACGTTACCCAAATTGTCTCTTTCTGTGTGCATTTTTGTCCCCAGTGTGAACCTCAGAAGTCAAAGGGGAAGTAGCTATCTGCAACCTGCACAAAGGACTCTCTTCTTCCTTTCCATAGTGCCAGGGATTCACCAGCCCTGGGCTTCAGTGTCTGCTACCCAGGATGCTGCAGCCAACCTTGTCTGGAACATGGCTTTTGGGAAGCCGGTGTCCCTAACTAATTTCTTCCTAACAGGGGTCCATTTGCTCTGACTTCTGTATCACCCTGTGGTGCCCTGTGTGCTCTGTTTGCCAAATAAAGAGAGACATCAACCGCAGGAAGGAGCAGGGTACATTCTGGTAAGCTGGGGGTGCTGGTGCTGGTTTATAAAGCTGCCATCACACATGGCCAAAAGGCTTCCCAGAGTGTCTCCTACTGACACAGGGTTGCTACAGTGGGGAAATGGCCATGGACATGTGACAAAAGTGACCTGTCCTACAGCAAGATGTTGCTGGGAACCTCATGCAGGGTGGAGAGGGAAGGACTGGGGGACGCACAGTGTGTGGTGAGGCACAGCCCTTTTCCCTGACACTCATCTCCTATCCATTGCAGATGGATCCACGCTGCATCCTGTGGAGCTGCTGGCAGGAGTTGCCGCTGCCCTGGTTGTTGGGAAATGCTCCATGTGGGGCTTGCCTTGATTCAGTTGATTTCCCCTTCCCTGAGTAACACCAGCAATAAAGTTTTGAGTTTGTCTTCCTACCTCTGTCTATGTCACTCTTGTACCACCTGAGAGGACCCGTCCTCCTGTTTCATCTACCTCAGCAGCCCCTGGTGCAGCTGAGATTTCTCTTGCCTGCTGCAGAGAAAGGTTTTCATGAGTATTTTGTTATTCAATCAGCTTTTAGAGAGGATATAGAATACCTGGGAGGAGTCAGTGTTGCTCATTCAAGTTGTAGAAGTTGGGCAAGTGACTATGACTACAGGGTAGAGGTGGGGCTTCCTGCAGACAAGTGACATCTGCAGGCCACCCAGTGCTAAGTCACCCCTGCTGTGGTGGCCCGGGTGGCTGTCCAGGGCTGCTGGCCAGTCCCACCTTTCTGAACATAAAAGCATGGGGATTGGGGCTGCCTGGCACCAGCCTGCCTCCTGTGTTGCAGAGACATGCTCCCCGACGGACCCTGAGCATGAATTCCCACCCACCTGCAATTAAAATCCTGGTTGGGCCATGGGTTGGCCACGGCCTGTCCATGGTCAAACCCTGTTGCCTTCCTGCATGACCTTTTAGAGTCCATCTGCCTGCACTGGGCTCTCAGCCCTGCACTCCTGTCCAGGAGGTGGAGGTTGCATCCACCCTCTCTCCATCACTCAGAGAAATGCTAAAGGATTTTCAATCCCTGCAAATATTCCCCAGTTTCACTTTTTAAGGAAAACGTGAGAATTTTTTGTCCCCTCTCTGCCTTCACCTTCACCACAAAACTTTTAAAGGGCAGGCAGTGGCTCTGTCCATGCTGTGGGGTGGGTGTGCATGGTGGCACTGCCACCTGCCCAAACTCCAGGTGGCCCAAACAGTCTTATGGATGATCCCTGGCCATACAGAAAATGGATTTTCAGCCTAAGAGAGGTAAAGGCCAGGAAAGTGGAGAGGGAGAGGAGAAAAAAGACCAGGCTGCTGCCTCATCCCAGCACAGCGTGTTACAATTTTGTAGATGTCCCTCGAGGCAGCACCTGTGTCACCCAGTGTAGTTACAATCAGCTCTTGCTGATGCTCAGGGTTAATGAAGGAAAGGCACTGCAGTTCCAGCAGAATATGGCTTAGGGCCGCACAGGAGCCTGGAAACAAACTGCCCTTCCCTGAAAACGTCTCCCAAAAGCGGTATGTCCCACTGGGGCTCTGGGCCTGGGGAATACTGGGGTGGGGAAGGGTGAGGGCGGGCAGCAGAAGCCCTGCAGGAGCAGGCAGGCAGGCAGGCTGCAGCAAGGGAGCTGCAATTGCACAGAGCAGCACCTAAACCAGAGTCTGGTCTGTGAGTCAGAGAGCAGAGGTCATTTGCCAGAGAGTATAAAAGGGCATGACCCCAAGCAGCTTATCAGGCACGCTCTTGATTCAAGACTAATGTAGCATGAATGTTAATGTGCTGGGTGGTGGTAAAAGCACAGCTAATGCAAGCCCTTCCTGAAACAGCCTTCCTACTTTTCCAGAGTGGTTCTCTACATTTTCAAGAAGCACTTCTGCCATTGCTTCATTTTTGTTTCATCTGGGGCAGAGCAGTGGTGGTGCTGCCTGCATGAAGTACAGGAAAGTAAACCAGACCATCTAGTTTCGTATCTCACACTGTTACTAATGGCTAAACTCGATGGTACCGCTTTTCTTCCTCCGGGCCTGGCCCCTAAGCAGCAATGTGTTTTAGGAGTCCTCGGTGAGCCAGTAGAGCAGAGTGTCAGTCACTAGAGGGCATCAGAGAAGAAGGATGCGAGACATCCAGCCTACGAAGGAGAAAGTGTTCTTCAATAATGCCCTGCTGCTGCTGTTTGCCCACAGGCAATGCCCTCAGGACACATTTCTGCCCAGGCACAAGATCACAATTTAACAGTGAGAAGGAAAACGTGTCGGTCCCTTGTGTGTATTAGAACAGCAATGAATAGATGTAAAAACTCTGAGGGTATCTATCAAGTTTTCTTTGCCGTTCTACGTATTTGTGTTCAGGACATTTCACAGTGGGTGCAGTGCTTGCCACTGTGGTGCTTCAACTCCCTCCCTGGGACTTGCTGTCTCGAAGAAATCAGAGAGCTGGGAAGGAAAGTACGACAGTGGACACAGAGAGCTGTTGATAGAAGGAGCTGGTGGTAGCAGCCCTAGGGACCGTTGTGTTCACTGATAGGAAACAGAGAGCTCTTAGATCTTTCCTGGGTATGTTAATTTTTAAGTGAGCCAGGCTTCAGCCTAAAAAGAAAGGTAGAGGCAAGACACCTGTAAGACAAAGCAGGGTTGCAGAGGAGTATAGCTCTAAGCCTAAATTCAGGAGGGCTGAAATGCAGCTCACTCTCTGCAGCAGGAAACCTGCTGGGAAACCTGCCACTCAAGTAAAATATGTGATGTTAATATGGTGGTGATTTAACTGATACTTTCTGGGGCGTAGTTGAAATATTTCAATGTGGGAGTGTTAAGCCTTACAGGGGAGAGGACGGTCATGTTATTTTTAGGGCTAATGGGACAGACCAAAAGGACTCCTGGGAGATTTGCATCTGATGCCAAGCTGGAAGTACTGTACAGTACCATGCCAGCCTGGTCTGCAGCTCAGGAAAATTCCTGGTGAGCATCATATTGAGCAACATTAGATTCAACCTCCACAGGCCTTCCTCAAGGTTTACTTTAGGTCTTTCAATGACAATTACTCAAATAAGACTTGCTATTTTCTCCTCTTTCTAATACATTTTTATTATGTTTTTAAACATTGCCTCCCAGAGCTGGGGTGAAGGTGCACAGCCTTGTCCACCTCTAAACAAAGAAGGCAGGTGTGGCAGCTGCACAGATTCCAGCTTCTGTCTCAGTTAATGGACAGCTGGTGGTGACCTTCTGCCAGATTTAATATTTAAACAGCACATGCAAGGTGTTTGGAAGCATTGTCTGATAAGGAGATAGCTTTCTTACGATGTGTATAACGTCTCAGGGATGTTATATTGTGAACTGACCAAAGGTCAGCTGTGTGATATGGGTGTGCCACACATCTGAGCAAGCATAAAACACAAGTGTGAAAGGTTGAACATGTTTAATCAGTTACTAACAAGTAATTCTGTGATACACCATAGGTTAGTCTGAAGATAGATGAGGAAAAATTTATGAACACTTGTCATGCATTCTTGTCTTGTCTGACAAAAGGCACCTGGGGCAAGCATGGCCTTGGAGACAGTAAGATAGAAAATAATTTGTTAGAGTAGAATTTATTACTGACTTTTGCACTCACTTCTGAGGGCACAGGTTTCGAGCCCTGGAGCAGGACATAAACACTGGGTTCACCTGATCCCCCTGGGAACCCTCTAGTAGCAAAGCTGATGAGATGCCAAAGTTTGCACTGTCTCTCTCCAATGAAATCTGTAGTCTTATCACAGAGGAGTCATGTTCCTATACTGCATCTCCTTTATTACTAATTTGAACCTAGATAGCCCTGTATTATCTTTACACAAGATCATTCAACTATCAGCAGATAGCAGGGTTGATAACACAGTCCCTTCAGCCTCACTAGTAAACATGTCTAAGAGTGAAAACTTCCCATTGAAATTAAATAAATCCTGGCCACCTCCCCACAACTAGAGAAAGAAATGCTGAATTCCTGTCACTCACTGTTTCAGACTCCAATGCAAGCATTAGCTGGGGCTTTCCTTCAGACAGTCTACTCCGTGTCTGAAGACAGGAACAACTGTGAATTGACTCACTCAGAAGTGACCTCAAGGATACCTGTGCACACAATTTAAAAAAATCCCAAATCATATTTGCTTTTAACTGTAGAGCAAATATCTGTGCGAACAAAGCAACTATAGTTTTTCATCTCCTTTTTTGTTGTTGTTTGTTTTGTTTCAGCATGAGTGCCAGTAATGCTGAGAGCAACAGTTGCCCCTCACTGCATCCTGTGCAAACGCTTTGTTTTTTTCTGACTCAGAGAATCACGGAATATCCTGAGTTGGAAGGGACCCATAAGGATCACTGAAGTCCAGCTCCTGGCCTTGCACAGGACAACCCCAAGAATCACACCCATGTACCTGAGAGCATCGTCCAAACAATTCTTGAACTCTGTAAGGCTTGGTGTTGTGACCACTTCCCTGGGGACCCTGTTCCAGTGCCCAACCACCCTCTGGGTGAAGAATCATTTCCTAATATCCAACCTAAAGTTCCCATGACATAGCTTCATATACCCTTTCCTTGAGTCCTTGAGTCACTTGTCACAAAAGAGGAGAGATTGGTGCCTCTCCCTCTGCTTCCACTCGTGAGGAACTGGCAGACCCTGATGAGGTCTGGACACTCTCTAATGGCTTAATACCTTGCCAAAGGAAGGCAACAAGGATGGTGAAGGGCTTAGAGGAGAAGCTGTATGAGGAACGGCTGAGGGCACTTTGTCTGTTCAGCCTGGAGAAGAGAAGACTGAGGGGAGACCTCATCAGGGTCTGCCAGAGACACCTTGATAAATTAGAGGGCAGGGCAATCAGAAACTGCCTGAAGTTTAACAAAATCAAGTGCCGGATTCTGCACCTTGGACAGGGCAACTCTGGATGTGCAGGCAGACTGGGGAGCGAGAGGCTGGAGAGCAGCACTGTGGAAAGGGCCCTGGGGCTTCTGGTTAAGCATATGGAACTGAAGGAAAACATAGTATCCATCCACAGGACACTGGGGGAGAAGGCTTCGCAGCCAGCTGAGCCTTTTCCGACATTCCACGCTGGCATTCATCCCACCCTGGCAGGTCTACCAGCCCCGGGCACTGCTGCAAGCCTCGGGCAGGTGGAGGTGCTTTACTTCATTCAAAGGTCAGCGCTACCTACACAGCTGGGTTGGGCCAGCTCCCGACGAAGTGCTGTGCCGCAGCTTACGACTTGTACAGCTGAAAGAAGGAAAGGTGAAATTGAGGCTCGCCCTTGGCCCTGCCCTCCTGACAAAGCCCTCTGGCTTCCCCAGCGTGCAGGGAGAGGGTGGAGACTCTCCGGGGTGACGGAGCGCGGGGATCCCAGCTCCCAGCTGTTCTGCAGCACATGTGATGACACGGGTGGGACTG